ACACACACACACAGATTTTCCCTTTTAACTGAGAAAAATGTAGATGGCACATGGCCACCAAACAGCCTGGAGAGCAACTCCCACAGGTAAGTCTAGTGAAGGGGAAGTGAGATTGAAGCTGGGCTGGGGCTGGGGCTGCTGCTCAGCAGTGTGGTGCATGGGGCTTAGGGGATGAAAAGGAGGTGGGGGAAGAAAGAAAGAGAGAAAGAGGCCTACACAACTATGCTTGGATAACTGAACTTGAATAACCCAATTATGCAAGGATATTCTAGTAGAACCCAAGTCAGGCATGGTACACAACCTACTTAATTCACAGCAGGAATGAATAAAGATACTACAGCTTTTACTTTTACTTTACTGGCCTTCTGCATTCTAATTTCTCTCTTCTTATACCCTGTCATCGCCTTTTATGAAGTGAACATAAGTTCATGAAAGCTTGTGTCTGCTTGCACACCTGCATCAGCTCCCTCATTTAGTTCATCAAGGTGCATATCCACTCTGCCACGTTAATCTGATGTCATCAGGCAGAAGGCAAACTACCTCTAGCTATAGATATCCCAGATACTTTGCAAACCTTCCTCTTTGCAGAGAGTTAAGGACTCTAACTCTGCGACATTATCTGAGTTCTGCTGTACTACGAGTGGAATCACGTGCACATTCCTTCAGTCATCCAAACGGTATTTCAGAGGTGCCAGCCACCACCTACAACTTGCACTAACATGGTCATTAAGAGCTAATAAAACTACTTCTGTGCACTGAGATACCCCAGTGGAGAAAGGGTTTTGACGAGTGTTATTGCTTAAGCATAGCTTCGCCAAATTAAAAGTGAGAGCAACTCCACTGAATTATGCTCAGGCCTATAATATCAGTTGGAAGAACTACTAGTAGGGCAAAATCCTGACCCTACTGAAGTTAATAGGAGCCAGTAGGACCAGACTATATCTTATAGCTTATGGAATATCCTAGTTTGTGGAAAAGACTTTCAAGGCTGTATAATCCAGACCAGGCACCCATGAAGTTAGCTCATTTTCAGATGTTTAAAAGAATAAAAAAAGAACAAAGACCTGCAGTTTGAATGCTTGGCTGATGGGAATCACACAAAATAGAGAAATCAGATTTATTTTTGGCAGTAGAGCTGAATAGCTAGTGAATGGTGCCTAACACGACTTTTTCTTTGTTGTATTCTCTAGCATGCAATCTTGTACAAGTCCGATAGCGTCCTGACCAGAGGATGACAAATGTGGATATGACAATTACCATAGTCAGGGACAGAATTCTAGTGAGACCACTTAGCTGTAGATCAAAAAGGTGATGCAGGGTGAACTCCAAGATCATGTCTCATGGTAGAAAGAGTTCTTCCCTTAATTATATTGTAAAATAAATTATCCTTGTTGGATTCTTACAGGTTTCTTTGGACCCACCTTGAATAGTTTTATCCATGTTCTGATGTATTCCTATTACGGATTGTCTGTCATTCCATCCATGCGCAAGTATCTGTGGTGGAAGAAATACCTCACTCAGGCACAACTGGTATTATTTTGCCCTTCACTCTCCTTATTTTTAATTGATGTTTTTGTCTTAAGAGGTGGGACTAAACTGCAACCTTAGATGGAAACCATTTAACATGTAGGTGAGGGATTGTAGAGTCAGAGAGAGGAAGGAGCTCACAATTCAAGGCATCTTATATCCAAGTTCTCCCCATGGTTTTAGTGTCAGATGAGATCCAAAAGCGGAAGGAGTCAGTTTTCTAGTTCAGAAAAGGTAGAAGTCTCATGAAGAGATATCTTGAGGGTTCAGAGCTATTTGTACACTAAGCCCTGATTTAATATGGCTCCAGACTGGAACGTCACAATCTTTGCCCATCTCCAGAAGGAGTATGTTTCTAAAGAATACTCTCTGAATACATTTGAACTGAACTCTGTCTGGGATAGGACTGAAGAACTTAGCAACAAGTTACTTTCTAAGGATGCACAATATGGGAAACATTTCTAACTCACAACGCCCCATTATTTATAGCATTTTTTTTTTTTTTTTTTAAATAGAGGAAGAAAGCTCTCCAACTATGGGAAATGCATCATTGATCAAAAAGTTCTAAAAGCTCTCAGCTTTGCAAGTTGACCAAACCATACAGCATTCAGTTTAAACTTCTTATAGAGATTCAAAATTTCATGCCTATGAAACAAACACTTTACACCTCAAGTACCAAGGGAAAGTCAAGACCTCTCTGAAATAGGAAGTGTAGCCATGGTGCAAGAAGAAAATGTAGTTATGTAAAGAAATCAAGACAAAAACTTCTCTTATTCAGAAAAATCTGTTCTTGTCCAGATCCTGTACACAGTCCATGGTCATTACTATATGGAGAGCAGCGCTGCATCCAAAATGTGTGCTAGGCTGCATTTCTTACTGGTAGAAGACAGACCACTTCACATTTGCATTTTAAAAAGGGCTTCTTTGTTCTCAGTTGGGAACAAAGAGGCCAGCAGCAGGCTTAATGCACAATAATGAAAGGACTGCATCTTAGTTCCTCTTGTCACACTGCACCTACAACAGGATGACGACTCATTTAAGATCACCACCACATTGGCTGCAAGGAGACTCAAACAATTCCTTTAATTGCTCAGGGTCCAAGATCTCTCTCATAGGACTAATGCAAAATGATGAGGCCCTTTGCAGTTCTCCTTCCCACCACACTCATTTTCCATTACCATACCCACGAAGGTGGTTCCCATCTCTCCCAGGCCTCTAAGTTCTCCTCATAAATGAGAGTCTCTTTTTCAGTTCCCTCTTCTAAAAGCTGCCACCCTGGATCTGAGGTACCACCGTAAAGGGGATTCTTTAAACCAGCCCAATAAATTCAGGCCTGCTTCAGCCTCATTAAAAGAGATTCATTATCAGATTACAAGCTGATCCCTCTAAGAAAGCTTGCATTTTCAGAAGTGTGGACAAAAAAAATCCTAGTTTTTTTATTATTTAGCACATAAGAACAGGGGCTGACAACCTATGGCTCAGATCCAGCCCACTGCAAGGCTTGGGCACAAGGAGGAAAGGCGAACTATAAATGTTACTGACCTCTGCCTTTGAATGACCAATTCCAACCCAGAAATGCTTTATGCAGTTGTCCACGAGCTCATAGTTTTGGAGAATGTACCAGAAGAGCAGCAGGAAGTTAAGTCTGATGATATTATTCTCAGCAGCCTCTACCCTAGAAAACACTCAAAAGGTAAATAAATCCCAAACATTTTGTCCAAATAACTAAATTAGTATGTGTGTGCAACCTGTCTTTCACAGATTCAGTTTCTTCTCACCATTACACACACCCTTAGCGCAGCTGTGAAGCCGTGTGGATTTCCATTTGGTTGCCTCATGTTTCAGTCCTCATACATGACTACGCTGGTCATTCTCTTCATAAACTTTTATATTAAGGTAAGTTTGAAGAATGTAAAGATCATAAAATGAGATTTGATTTCAGATTATAATTATTCCCGGAGGCCACAATAGACCATCAGTAAGCTCTTGTGTCTCTGCAATTTATGACATCTTGGGCTGTGCTGCTAAAATCAGAGCGCTAAGATTTTTTGCCCAATGGACTGATGTAAAGAACAATAAATGGTCATAAATCAAGTTACATTTGTATATCTTTAAGAGTCTTTTTTGTGGCTATTCTATCAGATCTATATATCTATCTACAAAAAAAAAAAAAAAAAAGTCACCTACAATAATGAAATGATCCTAAGATCAGGAAAATGGCATTCCCCTTCCCATTAAGGGCCCAATTTTACAGTTTTCCAAGCAGTTCCTATGAGTTTAATCAGATTTCTCACTGTATCTGCTCAATGAGCGCTAAGCAGAAGTTTTAAGTGATATTAATTTTTTTCTTTTTTTAAGGCATAATAGGAAATATCCAAGTGTGTATGCAAACAAATATGTGCTTTTCCCAATAACTCTAGATATTGATTCAGGATATAACATGCCAATAGAGTAGAACTTCAATACTATTTCAGACAACTCAATAAGTTTGTTTGTTTGTTTGTTTGTATAGAAGTAAATAGCAGCAATTGATTTTGAGAGCTTTACATGAAAAGATTAGGCAAGAAAAGGTGAAGATTAACACAGTAGTACCTGATCTTGCTGTGACTAGTACTGAGACTTAACGTTCATTGAGAAATGATATCATGCTGATGTGGATAGGTGCTCAGTCAAACATCCCTGCACATTTCCCCATATCTGACCACTAACGGCTAATTTTTTTTTTTATTTACCCAGCTGGAAGAATCATCAGTGAGACCTTTTGAGATACCACAAGTATTTTAAATATAGTCATATATTGGTGCATATTCTTTGAGTCAAGTACTCTGGGGTTAGGGGGTCTGGAGAGCAGAACAGAGAGAAAAGAACTTGCATCAGTTTTCAATATTTTAGAGATGAGAAATTTTGCATATAGCTACCTAATAAAAGAACTTAATTAAAAATAATTCAACAGGCATTTGTGGGTTTCATACAAAAGAACAAATATCAGGTCTAATTTCTATTTAGTAAGTATGTACCTGAAGTAGGAAGAGGTAAAAATGGCCTACCTGTCATTTGTAATTTCTAACATTCGGTCTTACACACTTAAGTATCAGCTCTACAAAATGGACCTTACAACCTTCGGGCACTTTCTTTTTCAGAAGAAAGAGGGTGGGAAGGCTTAAATGAGAGAGAGAAAGATTGGTAATGAAGATTAAAGTTAACTGCGTTCAATGATGGATATAGAACTCAGACAGTGAAAGGAGTTCAAAGAAACCAGACCAAGCAGGAGCGACTGAAAAAAAGTCACCAGCCCTGGTTCTACTCCGGTACTTGTACTTCACACCTGATGCAGTACCATGATGATCTTCATAAAATTAATTTTATTTTTTTCTACAGTGTTATGTGCACATCAACTCCAGGTTCTTGAATCTGAGCACTTCACAAACCATGATTAAAATTAACCTAATCAATAACTTGGTGAGATAGGGACTTCAATTCCAGAGATCTGGCCCTGGCAGAAACATCTGGTGTTACTTTGAGTAGTCTCTTTGCATTTCAGTTCCTCACCTAAACAATGAGGATCATAGCTTTTCCTCTGACAGTGTAACTTAAATCTTTAGTGGAGAAAGTTTCTTATGGCTGCATGGTGACTAGCACAACAGGCCTTTTATATTATCCATCCTATTGTAAATGGAATCACTCCCCTTATCTCATTTACCACTAGGAATGAGCCAAGATATTAACCCAGTCATACTTTTACAATGACCTTTAAGCAGCATATTCATACAGGTGTGTAGGTATAAGAGAAAAATATAGTTCTACTAAATGATCCAAAATGTATTTACTTTTTTAGACATATCAGAAAGCACCTTCAAGAACTGACATGAAGGAGGTCCCATCTGTGACAGAACTCAAGAATGGTTTCCATAAAGACTACTTGGCTAGAGCCAATGGACTTCTGACTAATAAGAAAGCACAATAAGTATAACAGCTCAATATTACATCATAGTATTCCTTTCAGTTTTGCTAAGAAGAGACAAGAGACTGAGTTATGAGACACCACTTTAGTGTAAACCCTGACTCAGTTTGGTTACCTGTAACAGTTCTTTGTAGCAGACATTTTATTCATGTATCGTGGATGAGGTTTTTAACGATGTGTAGCTTAAATTCTTTGACCAAGATCAACTTCAAAATGATACAAAGTGATTTAAGGTCTATCACTCGGATCCAAAATGCAAAGAAAAAAATTCCACAATCTGAAATGCTGACACAAAAAAATGCCTTACAAAGTATTTCACTGGGAAATCCAGACAGTGGTTCTGTTTCAATGGTAGCCTTCAAAAGTTAAGGCTCTGTTCAGACTAAAAAGGTTAGAACATCCTACAGGAAAGCAAGGCACTGGAACAAGTACTTTGTATTCCACAAATTTGTCTCATAGGCAGCTGGGTACTCAAGTCAGTTTTTGACTAGTTCAGCAGAGATCACCTGCGGAAACTCAGCAGGATAGCTATCCTACACCAACACATCTACCCACTAATCACAGCCTTGCTTGGTCCACTCATAGCAACTGCTGACACACACCAGGCCTTCAAATGCTATTCCTAAGATTCCCAGAAAAACAGAATTGTCCTCCTTAATCATCAAGGTGTTTTCAGCTCTGAAAATTAATAGTTAATTGCAGAATAAATTACTACTGCAGTAAAATGTACAACTTCAGCATGCCCAGGTAGAGCAAAATGTGTGTGGTGTTTCTGTGCACATAGGACCCAATCCAAAGCTTCCATGGGATTGGATAAAGTTTCCTGCCTCTTTGGCCACACTTCAGCTAGGATCATGTCTATACTGCAAAATTACAGTGCCAAGCATGGTGCACTCTAATCCATTGCACCACATGCTAGCTGGTAAACCAGTGGTTTCTGAGCATGCTGCTGCCTGGCAAGGCAACTTTGCAGTGTAGACCCACTTTAGGATTTAAAAGGTGTTGTGTTGCATGGTGTTAACTAGCCGAATCCAATTTACCTTGTTAACACCTTGTCTTGAACCCATTCTAGTTACCATTCAAGACACTTGAAGGAGACTTTATGCTTCAATAGATTGAAAAATCCATAAAACAGGCTGCAACAGATGACATACAGCGTCCTAAACCAGGCAGTTGAAATGAAGTG